CCCCCCCCCCCCCCCACAAAAAAAAAAAAAAACTGGGTTGAGTCACCTTAAGTACCCCTAAGAGGGCAGAAACTTTCATGCGATTCTTGACGATGTCAACATATCGAAAATCATCCTCGGCCCTCTTGAGTGATTCAGTGCTACTTGTAATGTATTTGAAGTGCTCCGTTTTCCTGTCATGCAATCTGCGTTTAATTTTTTAAACAACCTTGGACATTTGAGCACGGATGATACAAAAGTACCGAAGTCGAAGGATCGCTTCTCACATAAACTTAAAGCCAAATTTAATAAGCTAAAGCGGAATACCTCTCTTGCTATACTTAAACAATGATGACATAATCTTTAATTATTCACATCGGGTTTTGACAGAGTCCGAGAAATCCGCATTGGCTTGAGGACTGCTTTTTTGTCTACCACCGAAATAAGGTGGATGGATATGATATTAAATGTTCGTTTGAATTACTTTTCCCTGACCTCAAGAAATATGGATCCCCTTTAACGGGTAATAACGAAGATAGAATGATTTCAAAGAATTTCAAAGAAAAAAAATTCTCAACAAAGATGAATGGAAAGCCCTGGATGATTTACGAAAAGATGATAGCATTATAATCACAAAACTTGATAGGATTGTAATCATCAATAAGCTTGATTACTTGAATAAAATGAAAGAGTTGATTTCTGATGAAACAAAGCTAAGTTCAAGAAACTTACGGATAACCCGACGAAATCTAGAGAAGACAGTTTAACATCTTATCTTCACAAACTGAAAACGGAAAAATTCATCAACGATGCCACCCTACAGAAGATAATCTCATGCGGTTCCTCTCATGGTGTTCTTTACGGCCTTCCTAAGGTTCATAAATCTGGTTGCCCTTTTCGCGCCCTGTTGTTTCTTCTGTAAACACTTACAACTATAAGTTGGCATGATATCTTGTTCATATTCTCCAGCCCATCTCGACTAACCAGTTCACAATCAAGGACTCGTTTAGTTTTGCTGCAGATTGGGACGAGAAGTATAAACATAAGAATGAGGTGATGTGCTCCTTTGACGTCAGTTCCTTATTTACAAACTTTCCTCTTGATAAGACAATACAAATTTGCCTTGACAAGCTGTACGCGCTTGCTAATGCGCCAACACTTACCCGACCAGTCTCGAATTTGAGGAGAACAACACGATCTCTTTCTTAGACATAATCCTGCATCAAACGCAACAGTCATGCTTTTTCAACATCAAGTTGCCGAGAGAAGCCCTTACTGGCCTTTACAATACAAATGGGACTCTCTCGCACCTCAAAAATACAAGATAAACCTTATCCGTACGCTCACTTTTCGCTGTTTCTGCATTTGCTCGTCACCCTGACTTTGGAGTTCTCTTTGGATGAATTAAATGTTATTACAAAACGGTTATCCTAGCGCTGTGTTGAATTAAAACATTAATGTTGTTCTTAACAGGCAACCACCACAGTCCCCAAAAAGGAAGTCCTCTTAATTCTACCTTATTTATGGATACAAAGCAGAATCCTCGCCAAACACGTGAAGGCTTGCATCAATAAATTTTACGGCTGCTTTGACCTTCGAGTTGTTTTCCAGAGCCCGCATCGTATTATGTCTCTTTTTCCCTACAAAGACAGGCTCACCCGTGCTCAAATGTCCAGGGTTGCTTATACGGCTAGTTGTTAGGACAGCCAGGAGGTCTACATGGGTACTGAAAAATAAACGTAGATTGCATGACAGGAAAACGGAGCCCTTCAAATCCATTACGAGTAGCAATCACTCACTCTGCTATTGCCAACCTTGTCACGTCAACTGGTCATAACATGAAATGGGATCATTTCGATATTTTGGCAAGAGGACGGTCGGGCACCCATTGCAAGATAAAGGAGACAGTGAAGAAAATGTCAGCATGCTTTTTCTTTTAGGTGCAAATTTTCCTACCATGACTTTTGTTTCTTTAATAAGTTACTTATTCTACATATAAATTTCTGTTGTTATTCAGCCCTTTATAATTTCTGAAGTCAAGTTAAAGTCTTTTTTCTTTCTAGAAATGCGTTTCTTCTTGTTTCTTCTTGTGTCATATAAACGTGTCAAAAAACCATAACAATAATAATAATGGTAATCTGAATCAACATCATCATCATCATTATCATTATTATTACTATTATTAATGTTGATAGAATAAAACATAAATGTATACAAATCTTGACAATGCACATATTTTTCTTTAAACGGGAGTGCTTGACAAAATACATAATACATTTTCCTGAGGGAGGGTTTAAAAGGAACTTTCAGGACTCACAGAGAAGTCATGTTTACCTCCCCAATGAAACCCATCCAAGCATCTGTCCACTGAAAACGCCCTTCAAAAACAGCCACTTATTAAACTCTGAAGCGATGATGTGTCAAAAGTGTAAATTGGGAATACTTTTACTTAAATCCAAAAGTATCTATTCGCGAATGAGCGTCCCGGACGCTTCTTTTCAAAGGCGAGGTCGTCATAACGTTCCATTATCATTAAAACCGTGTTCTACTGCA